TGCCCCAGGGCGGCGTTTCCCTGGCTGCTGTGGCTGTGGCTGTGGCTGAAGCAGTGGCTTCCTCCAGCGACGCTCCCACCGCCCCGCTGACCCCCGCTTAACCATGAGGAAACTGAGTCCCAGCAAGGTCGCCAAGTGGGTAGGTGTCAGTCTCTTAAGTGGTGGAACCAGGTGTAAACCCAAGTGGCCTTGCTCAGCAGCCACTGGCTCCTGATGAAACGCATCTTGACTCCATCAGGATAAGGGCCTGTCCTTCTCTATGCTGGGGCCATGGCCTCGTGGGGCGCATCCCCTCTCCTCTGTCCCAGATCTGACCCCAAGTCAAGGTCAGGCCCTCCTTCCCCAGGAATCAGGCACGAGGAGTCCCACGAAGGACACACGTGGGATGGTGGCCCAAACAGGAACTGCAGCTCTTGGGGCTTCCGGCCTTCCTTGGGCCCCCACCTCGTCCCATCTCTTGGTGTCCCCCACAAACACCCTGCCGCCCCTGTTCTGATGCTTGAGTCTTGATCACGAGCCCGGCCAAGGCCTCGGCTTGAGGAAGCTCAGAGGCCTGCTCCATCCCGTCAGTTCTACCCCTTTGTCTCTCCCACCAACGCCCGCCGGCACAGTGGGGAGCACATCCCCTCAGTGCTCAGGCCACCCCCAGAGCTCCCCTCTGCCATACCTGAGTGTAGCCAAGAGACGGTGGCCCGTAGTCACTCAGCAGCTGCCGGTACTGCGAGGACGTAGCCATACCAGTGGTGGGCGGGTGGACGCTCCCAGCTGGGGGAAGGGGAGAGAGGAATCAGAAACCACTTAGCCTTGACCAGCTGTGCCCAAGGCGAGGACACGGGGGCCTGCAAGCCCCCTGCCCAGGACCCATGCCATCCACAGTGGCCTGTCATCTCAGGACAGAGAACCCTGCTCCCGTCCTCTAGTTCGGCCTTGGCCAACACGACACTTGGACTAGATGACATAGTAAAACGTAGCGAACAGGCCGCAGCGCCTCGCTCAGCAGCACGGCAGACATTCCTCATCGATCACAGACCTCCTGCCCATCCACGCAGTCGCCACTGGGACCAGACATGAAATCTGCTATTCTCAGCCTCATCCTTCCCCCTCTCCCTGATCCCTGCTCCCCTGAGGCTGATGGCCTGGAGCCGCATCTCTGCCACAAGAGCGCTCCTACTGCTGAGGCTGGCCCACACCTGGGCTAGGGCTTCCTGTGGGCACCAAGCCTCTGCTGGACTGCATGGTGAGGAAGACACGGGAAAGGTCTGGGGAGGTGACACCCAATGGTCTCCTGGCTGGAGACGGGGGCACTGGACACACTCAGGAATCTGGAGTGCATCACGGCCTCTGTGTGTCCTCAGACAAACCCCCCTCGAACTCTGAGCCCTGGCGCCCCCGCCCCAACGAGGGGACAGGTCTCTTGACAGTCTGCTCCTATGCCCAATGGCTAGTACCCCAAGAAGGGAGGGTAAGGCCCCACTTATGGGCTACAACGCTCGGAGACACAGTCCCACAGTAGTGAGGGACCTCGTAGGGCCAGGGTTGGCTCAGATGGAGGCCCCTGGATGCCGGGCAGGGAGGCCTCAGCGGGGAACGTTCCAGCTCCATCTGGCTCAGAGCTGGAAGCATGCAGACCCATAATGGCGTCCGAGTGGCCATCAGCGGGGAAAGGATGTCCTGCAGAGTTACAAACCGCGGTAACCATGGAGAATCTACCTAGTCGACCTCGGCAGCTGCCCGCCGGCCTCCATGCCTGGCTGCAGAGCCGCTGCCCCCACCTGCTGCCCGCAGAGCCAAACGGTCTCTCTCACGAACACAGCGGGCTCTGCAGACTTGGCCCTGGGGAGGGACAGCTGGTGCCAGGCTGGCCAAACCAACCAGCTGCTCATCTGGTGTGGGTGAGGGGAGGGGCAGGGAGGAAGGAAGTTCAGGAGCTCAGGCTGATGGAGCTGGAAGGGGCCCTGGGAATCCTGCAGGCCCTCTCTGCAGAGAGAAACACAGACCAGAGAGGGTGAGCACTGCCCCAGGCCACACAGCACAGAAGAGGGTAACACCCCAATACCTGTCCCTCCGTCTGGGAGCTGGGGACAGCTCGGTACCCAAGACGTCTTCCTCAGTCGCAGGCCTGCCCCAGATTTACCCACCAGGGCCCAGGTTTATGCTCGAGCACGGAATCTGCTACCTCCAAGCCAGCAACTGGGCACATCACTGGGTGACTCTGACCCTCTAAAGTGAGGATGATAATGCACTGTAGGAGTGTGCTGCTCAGGATGGGGACGCGCTACCACCCCATGACCTCCGTCCCAGCAACGGCAAGTGTCCCCGAGATCCCCGCCCAGACATCAGCCAAACCCCAGTTTCCCAAACCTTCTGATGTGGGCACTGAGTGTGGTCTGGGTAGCTCAGGCTTTGCAGCCCCAGACCTGAGTTCCAATCCGGACCTCTCTGGAACGCCAGGATACGAAACGTGACCCTGGGCTGGGGGCACGGATGGTCCCACGGCACTTCAGGTTATCTATACATACCAGGTCCCTGGCAGAGACGGGCTGGCAGCTCCACATTCTCCTGCCCCCTCCGCCCACTGCTGCTCTTTTTACTGGGTTTCTGCCTCCCCACCCCATCTTCTCTAAGACAGGAGAGGGACTGGACTAGGAGCCGGTCCAGCTGTGCCAACCTGGCCGTGCGGCCTTAGATAAGCCCCTTCCTTTGGGCTTCAGTTTATCTGTAGGAGGCAGCAGTCCCCAGCCCCGCGCAGACCCTGCTTTTCCGTGGTGCTGGGGTCAAGTCTTGGGAGCTAAGGAAGGAGGAGGAGGAATGAGAAATCGCCCGGGTTGGGTTGTGGGGTTGGGTGATAGCTCAGGGCATGACTTTCCCATAACCTGGGAGACGTGGCAGGTGACCCCAATCCTGTGCCAGTGCCTTCCTTTGCTGTGTTGAGAGGGGGGTGTCTGTGGCCCTGGAGATTTGGCCAGGTCCCCGAGTTTCACTCATGCCCACTGCTCCCTGCAGACCCAGGGAGAGCCGGAGGGCCGGGCTGCAGGGAGAAATCCAGACTGGGCGTGAGCGCCGTGTCTCCGAGCATCGCAGACAATGTGCGCAGTGTGCGGGGACCAGGGAGGCCGAGCCGAGGGAGGGATTGGCAGAGGCCAGCAGCTCCTGGGGCCAGGCGCAGCTCCCCGCCCCCACGCCAGACAAAGAGCGGCCTGGGCCTGGGGAGCTGGCGGCCTTCCCGCCACTTGGGGCGCCTGGTTGGGGGGGGCTCTCCGTCAGGGAGGCGGGGGCTTTGTCTAACTCCGTCACTGCCACCGCCGGCCAGGCCGCGGCTTGGCAACCCGTGCGCAGGAGGCAGGGCTGGAGGGCGTGAGGGATGATGACAAGGGAGCCGGAGGAGCCGCGGCAGAGAGTCCATCTTGGATGCAAATGGCAGGGGGAGATGGGGCTTTCAAAAGGGGTCCACTGGGAGGGGGCGGCCCCGCCAGAAAACCAGAGACCCTCCCCTCTCCTCCTGGAATTCACCACAGGAGAAGGAAGACAACCTGTGCACAGATGCCCAGAACAGGGCTCCAGGGGTCCAGGCTGGGTGCCCTGTCACTCTGCGACCCCAGTCCCCAAAGGTCCCCGTGTAGGGCCCCTGCCTCAACTATTCCTAGGGCAGGCCTGAGAGCTCCCGCTGGTCCAGGCTGGTACAAGACCCTCACCCTTCCCGCCTGGGATGACAGATGCGGGAGGCAGGGGGAGAAATGCGACCTGGGCCATGAAGCCGGTTCCCGTCAGGTCTGCAGACCTCAGAGCAGGTGAGAGCACAGAGAATAGTGCTGTCTGCTCTTGAGGCTCAAGCCCACCTTGGCCCAACTCAACCATCTCCCATCTGTACCCTGACTCTTAACCCTTTCTAACCCCCAAATCTTCGTCCAAGTTAAAAATACACACACAGACACACACACACACACATATATATATATTGCTTTTGGGGGGTCCCTCTTCAGATTTTGGGAGTTAGGGAGTCAGCGCTTGGAGACAAGGCCCAAAACTTGCGGCCAGCCGCCAGCGTGGCGTCTCTGACCAGCAAGGCCACCCCTCCCCCTCCTCCCCTGGCCTTGCGCCCCCACCCCCACAACGTGCCTCGCTTTTGGGGAAGTCTGTTTCCAACCAAGTATCTAAAGGAGAAGGACTCCGATGATGGGACAAAGCCGGTCACCTCCGAATGCCACAATTTTACCTCCCTCTCCTCCCTCCTCCCTCCCCCCTCCCCCCCCGGTCTCGCTCTGTCCCCTGGGCACAGCCTAGAGCAGCCCGACAACTTCTGGAGGAGTTTCCTGGGACCGCCCGCTCCAGTCCCGGGGAGGGCCGAGGACGTTCCCTCCCGCCTGCCGCAGGAGGGGGGCTTTCTGGGCCTAGACTTGAGGGGCTCCGCGATGCGGGCGCCAGTGGAGACGCCCCCTGCCGCCCTCGGGCGCTCAGAAGCCCCCCGCCCCCGTCCTCTCCAACTTCTTTCACTCTGCGCACGCCTGAGGGGACCGCCCGCGTGCCCCGTGCCGGGGACCCCAGCTCCACGCGCCAGGCTGAGCCCCCACTGTCGACTGAGTCCCCTGCACCGCGGGTGAC